AAAAAGAAGGGGTTCGTTGGTATGACGCACTGCAAAAAGAGGAAAAGAGTTAGACAACTCGAAATCAAAGCTCAGACGCGAAGGTTGAACCTCGCGTCAAACAAGCTCAGACGCGAAGGTCGAACCTCGCGTCAAACAAGCTCAGACGCGAAGGTCGAACCTCGCGTCAAACAAGCTCAGACGCGAAGGTCGAAGCCCGCGTCAGACAAGCTCAGACGCGAAGGTCCAACCCCGCGTCAGAAAGTTCAGACGCGTAGGTTGACCCTCGCGTCAAAAATCTCAGACGCGCAGGTCGACCCCCGCGTCAAGAAAGATGAAATGACGGAGTCCAGCCCCGCGTTATTGAAACGAGTTTCCTCGTTGATCTCAAGATCAGAACTTGCCGAAGCAAGTTTAATGACCACGGAGGTCGTACTCACCACCAATCAAAGGGAGCTGAGGCGGCACATTCGCATGAGCAGCGGCGCCGCCGGCCGGTGCTGATGATGCAGATCCTCGAGCCGCAGCGGCATCGGATTTAGGAGCGACGAGCTTCTTGGGGGCCATGAGATCTCGTCGGAGGAGATGAGCAGTTGTCGCCGGAGATGAGAACGAAGTTTTTTCGTTGGAATTTCAAGAAGAGTCGAATGACTCTTGATTTGACCCCTAGCGGTCTATTTATAGACAGCTATGAGCTGTCAAATCGTAACAGACGGGATTCGAGGCTATCAGCCCGCACAAACTCGATCCTCGCGTTCGAGTTGGTTGAGCTTCCAAACGCGATGCTCACCTGCGCGTTCAAATTTTCCCAACGCTGGGCTCACCCACGCGTTCCAATTCTCAAATGCAGAAGTCATCTCTGTGTTGAGACCATCATGACAGCAATTTCTTAGCTACCAAGGCGACCAAAGCCGGGAAGAAATAAACGACTCCACTGGGGAGTCTATTGGAGGAGTACAGAGAGATTACAGTCAACAACTTTGAAATCATCTGGCTCGATCAGACGGAGGGAGCAATCAATCCACTAAATTTTGGATCCAAAGTATTCCGAAAATTCGTCAGTCAACCGCGAACTTTCGAAAACTTTGGAGGGGGTTCTGTAGGCTGTCTAAAAATCACAATAGATAGCTTATCCAAACAAGCTCCGACAATGGAGGTCACAATCAGACGACTTCCCAATCACTGCATCCGCAACTCCACAATCGCCACAAACACGACCTCACTTCTGAGATGATTGATCTTGATGGCTGCGACAACAACATGACTAATATTATATTAGCAATTATTGGAGATGCTGATGAGCAGTGTAATGATTTTATAAATGAAAGGTTGGACTTAGTTGGTGAGTTGCTTGGTAGAGAGCTGTGGGCAAATATCCATCTAAAGACACTATGGATGTTGATTCCCGTCAAGTTCCTACAACGAAAGCTACAATCAAATAGCTTTCGCGCAGACAATCGAAAGTTAGTGAGTTGCTTGGTAGACAGCTGTGGGCAAATATTCATCTTCAAAACACTATGGATGTTGATTCCCGTCAAGCTCTCACAATGAAAGCTACAATCAAATAGCTTTCGGGTCGACAATCGAAAGCGGCAAATAGAGGACTTTTCACATAGATCGAGAAGAGTTACAATTCAACGACACTTCTGACAACTGATGAAAACTCTATTCAGCAGTCTTCACAATCTACGGTGAAAGTTACAATCTGACGACTTTCATACCCTACAAACAGCTAAAGCGTGAGCGACCCTCGCGTTCATAGGGGTTCAACCAACAACGACCCCCGCGTCTCCAAGGCACAAGCCAAACGTGAGCGACCCTCGCGTTCATAGGGGTTCAACCAACACTGACCCCCGCGTTTCCAAGCAGGCAACAAGCTAAACGCGAGTGACCCTCGCGTTCAATGGTGTTCAGCTAACACCCAACCTCGCGTCTCAATCCTAAGACACGAAGTTGGGTTCTGAATGCCAGAATGGGCGTTTGACTCGTTCAAACATGAGTCGAACGGTTTCAGAACCGTTTATCCCACGTTCTGAGGGATTTTCGCCCACGTAGGAGCGGATATAGGGGTCAGTTATAACCTCCTACCCCCCTATAAAAGCTCAACAAACCCAACGGAGCAGAAGTTGGATTTTTCGTATCTGAACCGCACGGGTTTGGAAATTCTGGAGGATCTCAACCGCACGGAGGGTTAGCAGCAGCAGTGAAATCCTTGGAGATAGGATTTTTGAATCAAACTCAGAAGATCAAATCTGAGAGGATTCTTCAACAACAGAATAACAGCTTGATCATTAACCAAATTTTCGGTTCTAACAACTCTATTCACAGAGTTCTAACTCGTTCAGAGTTCTTAAACTCGTTAAAGAGTTACTTATAAAACGTCCACAGAAGTTCATCATTCCCACGAGATAAGAGACGGTCGGATCGTCAACGGAGAGCAAATTCGACACGAAGAGCAATTTCGACGCGAGCAATCGAAGGAGGCATTCCATCGCTACCGAGAAGAACCCAGTTTTAAACAAAGGAGAGAATCAAATTCGTTCTCTCCTCTTTTGTAATCAAGTTGTAATCGAGATCAAAGGAATCCAAGTCAATTTTCTTTATTCTCTTCTTTGCAATTTTTCCTACAAACATGTTGCCGATTGCGAGAACTCAATGGGGTGACCTTCTTCTACGCCTTCTGTATAGAACGACGGGTATAAGGTCGATCCTTCACCGGTAAGGAGTTGTGAATAAAAGTTTTGGGGGGGTCCATGAGATTTGTAATTTGATAGGAAACTATAGAGTTTTTTTATGAGAGAATTGAGAATTGAGAATTGAGAGTTTATAGTTGTTTTTTTACTGTTCATGCCAGTTTTTTCATCTCAACGGCTAAATTTTTCACTCAACGTTTATTTTTTAACGGTTCAATTCAACTCAACGGCTCACTTCTACTCACCATCAACATCTCAACGTTTATTTTTTCCATCAACATCTCAACGTTCAATTCAACTCAACTATAGAGTTTCATTCAACGTTTATTATATTTTTTCTTTTCACTCAAAGCAACAGACCCACCCAATTAAATCCCCAATCTCAAAATCCTCTCCCGTCATCTTCAACCCCAAACCCCAAACCCCAAAGCCACGACGACCACAACCTCCTCTTCGCCTCGTGGTCCTCTTCGGCTACGACGGCCACAAGGTCTGGCTCCCCAATCTCCAACCCCAAACCCTAAACCCTTTGGCCACGACGATCACTTGGGGGGGGGGGTTTGTAAAATGTCACCCCAGTTGGGAGCTCCCAAGCGCTCCACAAATTTGTGAAGCGCTTGGGAGCTCTGAAGGAAGCCATCGCCACGTAGGAACGGAGACCGGCCTTGGGAGCGGCTTCAGAGCTTGCTGGAGGGGGGGTTGGCAACAACCATCGCCACGTCAGCCTTCAGAGCCGAGTTCGGAGCTTGTTGGACTTGCTCTTATTCGCTCATTGGTTTTATTAATAAAGAAGGTATTTCATAATAAAAAAAGATTAATGCTCCAAGGACCCAAAATATGGGACCAATGGGTGGGACATGTGATGTGTCCCTTCCCTATTGGATAATGAGTTGACCATGTCAACTCATTGCCAACTCATTATCCAATAAGGGAGGGGCACATCACTAGTCCCACCCCTTGGTCCCATATTTTGGGTCCCCGTAGCAGCGCTCATAAAAAAATTATCTCAACCCGTTGGAAGCAAAAGTATATGTTTTGTTTGGTAGTTTACTAATGGATAAAAGGGGAAAGAAGGGAAGAGGAAATAAAGGTAAATGAAAAAAAGAGGAGGGGAAATGTATATAATAATTAAATTTGGGAGTTTAATAAAGAGAATGGAAAGAAATAATTTCTTATTTGTTAGAGTTGAATCATGATTGTCTAAAAAAATTTATTTCCTCTACACCCTAATTTGAGAGTGGGGAATCAAATTATATAGAATGGCAGCCAGAGGCTTTAGTTCCAAATGGTGTTTTTGGATCAAACACATTCTTTCTTCATCAAAAGCAACTGTTCTGGTCAATGGATCCCCAACCAATTTTTTTTCTTGTCATAGGGGTCTTAGACAAGGAGACCCTCTTTCTCCTATGCTTTTTCTCCTAGTTGTTGACGTTCTCAATAGAATGCTCACAACTAGTGTAGCATCGGGAGACCTCTCTGATCTTCATCTTAAGGGAGAGTTAAACTCTATTAGATCCCTTCAATTTGCAGACGATACAATCATATTCTCCAAGGCTTCTTCTTCAGACATGATCACTCTTAAGGCCATCCTTCTTATCGTTGCTAATATAAACACTGCTAGAAAATGGGGTTTTGCCAACGGACTAATAGCGACGGAAATTTCCGTCGCTATAAGTCATGTTATAGCGACGAAAATTTTCGTCGCTATTATTCTATCGGAAAAATCATATTTAGCGACGGAAAATTCTGTCGCTTTAATTTTACCAACGGATTTTTAGCGACGAAAATTTTTTGTCGCTAAAAAGCTTTTTAGCGACGGAATTTCCGTCGCTAAAAACCATTTTAGCGACGGAATTTCCGTCGCTAAAGAAAATTGTTGGGAAAAAATTTTGGGCGCGGGCGTGCCCAAAAAATTTGGGCAGCCCGCGCCCGAGAGAGGGATTTATCCCAAATCCCTCTCTCATTTCTCATTTCCCCTCTCTCTCTTCATTCCCCCCTCTCCCCCTTCTCGTTCTCTTTGCCGGCGCCGGACCCGCGCCGCCGCCCTATCGACGAGCCGCCGTCGCCGTCGCTGATCGCAGAGACGAAGAAGAATCCCACGACGCCGCCATCGAGGACGAGGACACCGGAGCCCAGATCGCCCCCATCATCAAGCTCGAGGAGGTCGCCGTCACCACCGGCAAAGAGGACGAGGAGGCCATCCTCGACCTGTAAATTTCTCAGATCTAAAGCTTTTAGCTCTCCTTTTGATCTCAATTTAATCTGATTATATTGATTTTTTTTATTTTTTAAGCAAAGCGAAGTTGTATCGGTTCGATAAAGAGGGGAAGCAATGGAAGGAGCGAGGGAGCGGGAGCGGGAGCGTGAAGCTGTTGAAGCACAAGGAGAGCGGCAAAGTCCGGTTGGTTATGAGGCAGGCTAAGACCCTCAAGATTTGCGCGAACCACTATGGTGAGATTTTTTCTTAGGCTTTTGATTTTATCAGGGTTTTAGTGCTGGAATCGGTTTGGTCGGGCTACTGACTTGCTCGCCTATAGATTGAAGAGAACTTGAGATGGTGCTTTGCCCTTAATAGGTTGTTCGATCAATTAGTTTATTCTTTTATATTTGCGTTTATAAAAATTCTTACTAATCAGACAGTTGTTGCATAAGTAGCCAGCTCCTGAGTGGTGCAAAACATTACAGTTATTTCAAAAGCATTTTTTTTTTTGGTGTACCAACTGGCTAGTGAATATGAATTAAAAAAAATGCTTAACAAAGTACGAAGATATTTAAAGGTTCACCCCCCTATTTATGATCAATGAGCTGACATGCGCAGCTTCTGTGAGTAACTACAGTATTTTACACACTGGAGCTGGTCAGTACCAGGACATTGCATTGCTGGACACAAAGCCCTTTGGAAAGGTACTATACAGCACTGGACAGAAGAAATAAATCATGTTATAATATAGATCATTTTATACTTACTTATCTCTGCCTCTGCTTTTTGTTTATTCTAATTAACTGCAGGCTTTAGTTATAGATGGAAAGCTTCAGAGTGCAGAGATTGATGAATTCATATATCATGAGTCCCTAGTTCATCCAGCATTGCTCCGCCACCAAGAGTACAATTCTTTAAGTCATTTAAGATTTATTTTGGTTTTCAGAAAATAGATAAATTAATTAATACAATGCATTTTCCTCTTTATAATTTTAATGTTTGTTTCGGTCCCAAGACTATTTTCATAATGGGAGGAGGAGAGGGGTCTACTGCAAGGGAAATTCTTAGGCACAACACTGTAGAAAAAGTTGTCATGTGTGATATTGATGAGGTAACTATTTTTTTGGGGTTGAAGTTCCTTTTATGAAATTTTCTTTATTTGTTGTAAATTTTTGCAGATAAAAGACAAGGCTGGGAAATCAAGTAACTCTGCTGCTATTTCATGTTCACATTGTCGGGTATTGGCCATATTCTGTTTACTTTATTAATTTTACTTTTTTTCAAGGTTCTGTTTTCAGATTTAATGGGATTGTTTTGTATTTCTTTTCTGAAAAATGAAAAATACAATATCAACTGGTCTTTTGGTCTTTAGTTATACTACAATCTATCCAATCAGAGAGGACAAAAAAAATACACCAACAACATGATCTGTGCACTTATTGACTTTGATTTTTAATAGTTTATCTTTCAAATTAATTGTGTGTTGGTTCATGCTTGGATATTACTTTATGTTTGTCTATGTTGAAGGAAGAAAATAATCTCAAACTAATAGTTGATGGGTTTTGATAACTAGTTTGTTTCCATATTAATTGTGTGGACGCGTGCGTGCATGCGTGCACGCGTGTACGCGTGCGTGCATGCGTGCACGCGTGCGTGCGTGTACGCGTGCATGCGCGTATGGTGAGAAAATTAAGGGTGGGGTTAGGATGTGTGTATGCGTTGTTGCAAAAATTATGCGTGCGTGCGTATAATACATAAGAATATGCCATGATACTCTTCTAGTTTTAGAATAATATACAGTCGGAATTTATGGAGAGAACTATGTTTGAAAAGATGCAATGATTAAATTGTGTAATGAAACCTGCTGCAATGGAGAGAACTATCTTTCAAATTAATTATGTGTTGGTTCATGCTTGGATATTACTTTATGTTTGTCTATGTTGGAGGAAGAAAATAATCTCAAACTAATAGTTGATGGGTTTTGATAACTAGTTTGTTTCCATATTAATTGTGTGGAGTGTGGTGCATGCGTGCACGCATGTACGCATGCGTGCGTATATGTGTGTGTGTGTACGCGTGCATGCGCGTATGGTGAAAAAATTGCGGGTGGGGTTAGGGTGTGTGTTTGCGTTGTTGCAAAAATTGTGCGTGCATGCGTATAATACATAAGAATATGTCATGATACTCTCTGCGAAACATGTAATACATAAGAATATGCCATGATACTCTCTCCGAAACATGTAATACATAAGAATATGTCATGATACTCTATCTTAATTCTATACTTGCATGTCATGCCATGTTGTTAACGTTTGATTTATATTTGTAGGCCGGGACTTATATTTGCAAGTGGAGCTGGTGATGAGGATGATGATCAGGAGGACTGATTTGTTTTTTTACCTTTGAAAACAATGAATGAGTGTATGTTGTATAAACAATATTTATCATGGTGTGTGCTGTATAAACAATATTTATTATGTTGGGATATTTTTATTAAAATATTTGTGTTATATATACGTGAGAATGAATATTATACTGCTGATTGAACAGGGTTTTAAATTTATTATATTATTGTACAGGTTTTTTCAATTTTTTAAAATATTTTTTTTAAATTGTTATAGCGACGGATTTTCCGTCGCTAATGTCATTTTTAGCGACGGAAAAGCCGTCGCTAATGTGATTTTTAGCGACGAAAAATCCGTCGCTAATTTTTTTTTGTTTTTTTAAAAAAATAGAGCGACGGATTAGCCGTCGCTAATGTTCCGTCGCTGACATTTAGCGACGGAAAATCCGTCGCCAAAGATCATTTTAGCTACCCTCACTGTACTGACGGTATTTTGGCGACGGAATTTTAATTTTTTCGTCACTAAAGGTTTTGGCGACGGATTTTCGAGTTTTAGCGACGGATTTTTTGTAGTAGTGTATCTCAGGTCTCAAGGTTAACAATCTCAAAACTAATCTTTTCTATCTTGGTAGATTTCCTCACAAAGGTCAATTACTAGCTAGAACTCTTAACTGTTCCATTGGATCCCTTCCATTTTCCTATTTAGGGTTGCCACTCAAAAAAGGGTCTCTTACAAGAAGGGAATGACAACCTCTTTTAGACTCCTTCTCCAAAAAATTGTCTCTTTGGAAGCAAAAATCCTTGTCGATTGGGGGGCGTTTAACTTTTAGACTCCTTCTCCAAAAAATTGTCTCTTTGGAAGCAAAAATCCTTGTCGATTGGGGGGCGTTTAACTTTGATCAATTCTGTTCTGTCATCCCTACCATTGGAAGCAAAAATCCTTGTCGATTGGGGGGCGTTTAACTTTGATCAATTCTGTTCTGTCATCCCTACCACTCTTTTACATGTCCTTCTTTAAACTCCCATCATGGCTTATCAAAGCTATTGACAAAATAAGAAGGAATTTTCTTTGGAATGGCAGTCCAATGTCTTCCAAACCCAAGTGTCTTGTTGCCTGGGGACACAGTGTGTAAGGCTAAGCAAGAAGGGGGCTTAGGAGTCATCAATATAGCCTATTTCAATTCTACCCTTCTTTCAAAATAGATTTGGAAAATCTTTGACAGAAATAATCTCATTAGCCGTGTGTTCTTCTCTCTGTATTCTAAGGACGGGTCTAACCCTGTCATCCGCTATCCAAAATATTCGGCCTCCAAATTCCTTAAAGATCTGTACTCCATTCACTCTAATTTCTTTAGTTTTGCTAGATGGCAAATAGGAGATGGCAAGTCTTGCAGATTCTGGATTGATAGGTGGGCATGTGCCAATTCTCTCAGAAGTTTGTTCCCCAAAGCCTTCAACCTAGCCTTCTCCCCCATCTGTAATACTCACTCCCAAGGGTTCAGGGCTGTCAACGGCTGGAACTGGCACATCATTCTTAGAAGAGGTGCCACCATAGAAGAGAGAACAGAAATTGCTAAACTGAGATCTTTCCTGGATACACTGTCCAATGTAGATAGTCATTCTTCTGATTATCTTTGGTGGCCTCTTCACCCATCGGGTATTTTTTCAGTCAAGTCCCTTTACTCTGTTGTGAACTCAGGGATGTGAAATCACCCCTATTCAAATTCATTTGGAAATCCCCTATACCTACTAAGGTTAAGATTTTCTTCTGGATAGTCAGTAAGAATAAACTAAACACTAAGGCAAATCTGATAACTAAAGGATGGATTGGTGACCCCCAATGCCCGTTTTGCTACCAGGAAGTTGAGAGTCAAGATCATTTATTTATTCAATGTCATTTTGCAAGAGATGTCTGGTCCATGCTTTTCCCTTATATCAGTGAAGATTTCTGGCCTCTCCACATGGATGAATTCATCAACAGAAGCAAGAGTCTCCTGATTAGCTCAGACATCAAATTAGTATGGAAAGTTGTGTTACCTTGCTGTTGCTGGTGGATTTGGAACTGTCACAATAATTTAATTTTTAGAGATATATTGCCGACTCCAGATAATATTGCTTCTAACATAGCAAGGTACATTCTTCTATGGACAGGGGCGAAAGAAGATAGAATGGCAAGAAGAATCCACAGGGCAGCTATCAAGTTGAAGTTCCAGGAAATAGCGAAGAAGAGAAATGATGATGTTGCAGGTGACAATTTCTAGGGAGTCTTCGGAGCCACCCTTCCCAGAAGACATAGTCTCTGTCCTCCTCTCAATACATGTGGTTTCGAGGGGAAGTTTTTGTGTTCTGTACTTTCTCAAACTTTGTTTTGGTCTTTCTTTCTTTTGATATTACTTTGTGAAAGAGCAGTTTTTTCTTTTTCATTAGTGAAGGGAGACACGTTGGACACTTGTTCTGATAGGTGACGACAAGGTCCGCTCCATATCATTCAATTAGTCCTACGCTTTTCCTCCTCACTAAGTTGTCCCCTTTTTGTAATTATCATGGTTTGGTATGCTTATATATATAATGAACAGAGAATCTCTCCCTGTTTTTCAGTCAAAAAAAACACGTGTAAACTTTGTTACCTTCCTTTCCCTTCACTCCTAACCAAAAAACTCCCAACTAAGGTAAATCTATTTACCTCGCTTGCCCTACCCCTCATTCACCCCATTCAATAACTGCATAATAGTCCCTCAAATCTACATATTGGTCCCCTAGTTCTTCAATAATTGCGTATTAGTCCCATAAAATATTAAAAATTACATGTTAGTGCCTTAAATCTTATAGAATCCTGCAAAATGGTCCCTCAATTAATATTTCAGTTAAAAAACTACTCATGGTTAGGTTAACTCTTAACTCAAAATCTACAGTCACAAAACTAC